AAAAAAAGAAAAAGCATGAGGCAAAAGAAAGTAGGATGCAGAACAACGAAAATCCGCCATATCATAAATAGCATAGAATGTGAACGGGGCTGGGCGCGGTGGTCACACCTGTAATCGCAAAGCACTTTGGGGAGGCCGAGAGGCAGGGGTATCACCTTGAGGGGGCCAGGGAGGTTTGAGGACCGCCTGGCCAACATGGTGGAGACCGTGTCCCGACGTAAAAGATACAAGAATTAGCCAGACATGTGGTTCAGGCTGTTAATCCCAGCTACTGGGAGGGCTGAGGCAGGAGGAATCACGTTGAATCTGGGGAGGTTGGAGTTGCGTGTAATTCCTGAGTATCAAAATTTGGAGGTATAAAAAAACTGGAGGTATCATAATATTATTAATCTAGAGTATCAAAATATCAAAAAGAAAAAAAAAGACAAAAGTTGATTGGAACTTATCAAAAAATCAAAAAGCTGAAAAACTGTTCAAGACTAGGATTATAAAAAAAAGAAATGCAGCTATATGTTGGTCTTACCCGAGCAAGATACGGTTTATTCGCTTTTTTTTTTTTTTTTTTTTTGAGACATGGAGTTCGGCGTCTGCACCGAAAGTGCTGGGAGTGCGGAGTCGGCGGAAGCAATTCTCGCGCGGCGAGCTGCAGCCTCTGCCTCCGCGGTTTAAGCGATTCCTGCCTCAGCTCCCAAGTAGCTTTTGGCGGATTACAGGGCGTGTGCGCACATGCCCAGGGCTAATTGTTTGTATTTAGTAGGAGCGGGGGTTTCACATGCTGGCTGTAGCGCTGGGTTTCTTGGAACTCCTGATCCCGGGTGAGTCTGCCCGCCTCAGGGCTCCCAATTACAGCTTGAGGCACGCCCCCTGCCTTGTTTTTTTCTTTTTTTTTTTTTTTTTGCAGACAATTTTCACACTGTTCCCATACTGGAGTGCAGGTGGTGTGATCTCAAAGCTCACTGCACCTGCCAACCTTACCAGGTTCAAGCGGATTCTCCGTGTCTCGCCTCCCGAGTAGCTGGGATTTACCCCTTTATTTCTCCCATACTGCTTTCTTGTTCTTTTTTTTTTTTTTTTTTTTAAAGATCAGAAAGCACCTGCAGGTCTATTGCTTTCTTCTGTGTTAAGTGAATATTATACTTTCTTTTCTTTTCTTTTTTGTTTTTGAGACAGAGTCTTGCTCTGTCACCCAGGGTGGAGTGCAGTGGCACGATCTTGATTCACTTGAATCTGCATCCCAGATTCAAGCAATTCTCCAGCCTTAGCCTCCTGAGTAGCTGGGACTACAGGTGCGTACCACCACGCATGGCTAATTTTTATATTTTCACTAGAGATGGGGGTTTCACCATGTTGGCCAGGCTGGTCTTGAATTCCTGACCTTGCAATCCACCTGCCTTGGCCTCCCAAAGTCCTGGGATTGCAGGCATGAGCCACCGCGCCCGGCCGAATATTATATTGTCTTAATTTCAAGAGACAGTGTCTCACTCTGTCTTTGGGGCTAGACTGCAGTGGTGTGATCATAGCTCACTGCAGCCTTGAACTCCTGGGCTCAACAGATCCTCTGGCCTCAGAATCCAGAGCAACTGGGACTATAGGCATGTACCACCACACTCAGCTAACTTTTAAAATTTTTTTGTAGAAACAAGGTCTCACTCAAATACAGGTCTTAAACTCATGGCCTCAAGCAATCCTCCTGACTCAGCCTCCCAAAGTGTTGGGACTACTGGTGGGAGCCACCACACCCAGCCCAAAAGAATACTTTCTAATTTAATGTTTTAATTTCTTTAATGATTTTTATGACTATTTTTTGTCTTTTTTTTAAATCACTAATTTTTGAGGGGTTTTTTAGTGTGTGCTTTAGGGTTTCCACATACATCTTAATTGTGTTTGGTGATGTTTTCCATATACATCTTAATTTATCAGAATCAGATTGAGATTTATATTAGCTTAACTTCAGTAATATATGGAATTTTAAATTTTAAACTCAAGTTATGAATAAGATTTACTTTTTTTGTCAATATATTAATAAAACATGTTTGGATTAAAAATGTTAAATTGGAATCTTCAGTTTTGATAAACCTGATTGGAAGAATCAAATAGCCTGTCTATGATAAGCAGCAGTTGTTCTAAATGTGGTAGAATAAATCGATTCAAAAGTTTCTTGTGTTTTTTTTTTTTTTTTTTCAGGCCGGGTATGGTGGCTCATGCCTGTAATTCCACCCCTTTGGGAGGCCAAGGCAGGTGGATCAATTGAGCGAGGAGTTCAAGATCAGTTTGGGCAATGTGGCGAAACCCTCTCTCTACCAAAAATACAGAAACAAAACAAAATAAAAACCAGGCATGGTGTGTGCACCTGTAGTCCCATCTATTTGGGAGGCTGAGGTGGGAGGATCAATTGAGGCGGGACGTCACGAGGCTTCAAGCCATGATTGCACACTGCACTCCAGCCTGGGCACTAGAGGGAGACCCTACCTCACAAAAAAAAAAAAAAAAGAATACCACAAAATTCCGTTAACCCTGAAAACATCCATGGCATTATGACAATATCACAGTTGAAGAATGACCATTATTTAGCAAATTTTGCAAGATAATACTTTTTTAATTTTTTTAGCCAGGGGTCTCACTCTGTCACCCAGGCTGGAGTACAGTGGCATGATCACAGCTCACTTTAACCTAGAACTCCCGGGCTCAAGTGATCCTCTTGCCTCAGCCTCCTAAGTAGCTAGGACTATAGTTGTATGCCACTGTGACTGGCTAATTTTAAACCTTTTTTTTTTTTTTGTAGTGATGAGGTCTTGCTATGTTGCTTAGTCTGGTCTTGAACTTCTGGCATCAAGCATTCCTCCTGTCTCAGTCTCCCAAGATGCTGGGATTACAAGTATGAGCCACTGTGCCCAGCCACAAAGGAATAATTTTGATACCATTAAAATAGTGTTGGGCTAGGCACGGTGGCTCACGCCTGTAATCCCAGCACTTTGGGAGGCCAGGGTGGGCAGATCACGAGGTCAGGCGTTCAAGACCAGCCTGGCCAACATGGTGAAACCCCATCTCTACTAAAAATACAAAAATTAGCTGGGCGTGTGGCGTGCATCTGTAATCACAGCTAGTCGGGAGGTTGAGGCAGGAGAACTGCTTGAAGCTGGGAGGCGGAGGTTGTAGTGAGTAGAGATTGTGCCACTGCACTCCAGTCTGGGTGACAGGGCAAGACTCTGTTTCAAAAAAAAGAAAATAAAGTTTCTTTAAAACACTCTCTTCCAACTTTAGGTTAAGCTCTGGGATGTCATGTTTTTATGAATTGCAATGTCAATAATTTTTCTTCCAACATCTCTTAAGAAGGATTAGATTGCTAGGTCGAGAGTGGGAGCAAGGGTTACACTTCTGTTCCTGAGAGGTATGAACAGGTATGGCACGTAAGGGAAATACACAGTGTTCCATCAGTGGCTCTTTATACAAAAGATCAGGAGGACAGGAGTTGAGGTTAACAGAACAGTTCAGGGGAAATCCTAAGGGAAAAGCACAAGTAACATGTAAGGCATGAACTCGGCTCACTGCAACTTCTACCTCCCGGGCTCAAGCAATCCTCCCACCTCAGCCTCCGAGTAGCTGGAACCACAGGCACATACCACCACGCCTATACCTTTACCTATACCCTTCTACACAAATTACTAAGGCAAAGCTTAAAGACTAGCTTTTTAGCACATCTGGAATGTGCGGAATTCATTAAATATCTAGTTGAATTAAAGGGAAGTCATATTTTATGTTGGTTACACACTCACCTTGGAAGAGAAATGAGGCTCTCATTGGGTCAAAGTAGAGTACAAGAGCCAGGAGCAGCTCTAGACCTCTGCCTGTACATGAGGGAAAAAACACCTTTTTTGAGCAACAGGAAAAGGTCATCTTTTCTCGATAAAGATTAGGGTAAGTCAGGTGCAGTGGCTCACACCAGCACTTTAGGAGGCTGAGGTGGGTGGATCACTTGAGGTCAGGAGTTCGAGAGCAGCCTGGCTAAAAAGGTGAAACCCTGCTTTACTAAAAATACAAAAGTTAGCTGGGCATGGTGGTGGACACCTGTAATCCCAGCTACTCAGGAGGCTGAGGCAGGAGAATCACTTGAACCTGGGAGGCAGAGGTTGCAGTGAGCAGAGATTGCACCACTGCACTCCAGCCTGAGCCACAGAGCAAGACCCTGTATTTAAAAAAAAAAAAAAAAAAATCAGGACAAATTAGCCAAGCATAACGGTTCAAACTTGTAATCCCAGCACTTTGGGAGGCCAAGGTGGGAGGATACCTTGAGCCCAGGAATTTGAGACCAACTTGGGCAGCAGACTGACACCCTTTCTCTACAAAAAAATTTTTTTCGAGACAGAGTCTTACTCTGTCACCCAAGCTGGAGAGCAATGGCATGATCTTGGCTCACTGCGATCTCTGCCTCCTGGGTTCAAGCGATCTCTTGCCTCAGCCTCCTGAGTAGCTGGGACTACAGGCACATGCCGCCATGCCTGGCTAATTTTTGTATTTTTAGTAGAGATGGGGTTTCACTGTGTTAATCAGGATGGTCTCGATCTCCTGGCCTCGTGATCCACCCACCTCGGCCTCCCAAAGTGCTGGGATTATAGGCGTGAGCCACCACGCCCGGCCTACAAAAAGTTTTTAAAAATTAGTGGGGTGTGGTGGCACATCCCTGCAGTCCCAGCCTACTCAGGAGGCTGAAGTGGGAGGACTCTTTTTTTCTTTTGAGATGGAGTTTCGCTCTGGTTGCCCAGGCTGGAGTGCAATGGCAAGATCTCAGCTCACTGCAACCTCCGCCCCGCTGGGTTCAAGCGATTCTCCTGCCTAAGCCTCCCGGGTAGCTGGGATTACAGGTATGCGCCACTACGCCTAGCTAATTATGTATTTTTAGTAGAGACGGGGTTTCTCCATGTTGGTCAGGCTGGTCTTGAACTCCTGACCTCAGGTGATCTGCCCACCTCAGCCTCCCAAAATGCTGTGATTATAGGCATGAGCCACTGTGCCTGGCTGGGAGGATTCCTTTGAGCACAGGAGTTAGAGATTACAGCGAGCTATGATTGCACCACTGTACTCCATCAAGCCTGGGCAACAGAATGAGACTCTGTCTCTTCACACACACATACTCAGGAAAAATTAAATAATGGAGGCTTGAAAAAATATTTTTGCATTGTCTCATCAGCAAAGTGTGATTCAGTCTGAAAATTTTTCTTTAATTTACATAACACAAAAACTCTGGTTAAGATTTTATTGAGAATTCTCCATTTTTAAGCAATTATTGTCAAACATCAAACTTTGCTACAAAACAAAGGTATTTTTGTGGCCGGTTGTGGTGCTTACACCTGTAATCCCAGCACTTTGGGAGGAAGAGGTGGGTGGATTACCTGAGCTCAGGAGTTCCAGACCAGCCTGGGCAACATGGTGAAATCCTGTCTCTTTTTTGTCTCTGCAAAAAAGTACAACAGTTAGCCAGGTATTGGTGTGCACCTGTGGTCCCAGCTACTTGGAATGTTGAGGTGGGAGGATTGCTTGAACCTAGGAGGTAGAGGTTGCAGTGAGCTCAGATCATTCCACTGCACTCAAGCCTTGGCCTCAAGCAACTGTCTCAAAGAATACGTATTTTTGGGCCTATTTTGTTTTTAATTTCCCACTGGAATTAAGGAGTAAGCTACTGCTTGTCCTAACATTTGAAATCTGATCAGAATTATGTAATATGGCTATAAAAGAGTATTTGGAAAGTTTGTGTTATAGGAAATATATTTGAATTATCTCAGGCCAACTAGCAGTAATTTGGGGTAAGTCACTTAACCTTTACAGGCTTCAATTTCTGTAAGCATAAAATAGTGGCTTGGCCTAAAATTCGTATTTATGAAGTCTTTTCGAAGACAAATCTTCTTAACTAGTTGAAGCTAATAATTACACTTATATTCAGATCAGAACGTCATACATCTATAATGGTTTAAAAATAATTATCTTAAAGGAGAATCAATCACGTTAAGTGGTGAAACATGATTATTGCTTAGCCTAGTATTTTCCAAGGTCTCTCATGAACCCACTGATACACTATTGTTAATACCTTTTATCTCAATCCTCTACTTTTCCTCAAAACATTTTTTTTCTTTCTTTCTTTTTTTTTTTTTTTTGAGACAAGGTCTCACTGTATTGCCTAGGCTGGAGTGCAGTGGCATGATCTCGGGTCACTGCAGCCTCTGCCTCCAGGGTTCAAGTGATTCTTGTGCCTCAGCCTTCTGAGCAGCTGGGATTATAGGTGTGCACCACCACACCTGGTTAATTTTTTGTATTTTTTGTAGAGATGGATTTTCATCACATTGCCCAGGCTGGTCTCAAACTTGTGAGCTCAAATGATGCTCCCGCCTCAGCCTACCACAGTGCTGGGATTACAGGTGTGAGTCCCCACGGCCAGGCTTAGGACTTCATTCTCGCTGTGTGTGAGTGTACACGAACATTGTAATGTAGGAGAAAGAGCTGAGCTGGTCAGGAGGCCTGAGTTCCAGTCCCACCTGTTCCATTTACTGCTTCTGCATTTTGTCCTATGACTGTATTTTCTCCTCTGTAAGACAGAAATAACATTATCTGACCCTTCAAGTTGTATAACTGAAGAGCACATTTTGAAAGTATGAAGTATCACTATAGATGTATAAAGTATTACAATTGTAGGCAATGAAAATTTAGGTTACAACATTAAAAAATATGGTGTGTTTTTTTTTTTTCCTTTCTGGTGCACTTTTCTAGGTGAATGTGCCCCTTAGGAGCACCTGTCCAGAAGTGTCTGGGAAAAGCTTGGGCTGCACAGTGATGGTGCTCCCTGAAAGACTCAGAGCAGCGCGGCCAGCACTTCCAGAGTATGAAGCATGAAGTACATTTATTCTACAAGAATAATAAGTAAATATAAAAAAAGTCAAGGATTCCATTTTTAATAAATAACAAAATCAACAAAAACAAAACCATATTCAGAGTAACACATCGGACTTCACAGCACTTTGAAAAAGACATTTAAATGTTGATTTGAGTTGTTCAGACATTTTAAATGTGAAGTCACAGAGTAAAAATACAATCAATGACTGAAATTGGGAACAAAATATCCTGAACATAAAGGCATTTGAATCTTTGGATTTTTTTTTTTTCTCTCTTTGAGATGGAGTCTCACTCTGTCACCCAGGCTGGAGTGCAGTGGTACAATCTTGGCTCACCGCAATCTCCGCTTCCTGGGTTCAAGCGATTCTCCTGCCTCAGGCTCCCGAGTAGCTGTGATTACAGGCATGCATCACCATGCCTGGCTAATTATCTTTGCATTTTTAGTAGAGATGAGGTTTCACCATGTTGGCCAGGCTGGTCTCAAACTCCTGGCCTCAAGTGATCTGCCTGCGTTGGCTTCCCAAAGTGCTGGGATTGCAGGCATGAGCCACTGCGCCTGGCCCCAAATATGAATTGAAAATGAGAAAATGGGACGGTGCTGTTATTCCACAGGGCTGCTTGAACTCCACTGAGAAGATATTAACTGCTAGTAGCCTTTGAGTGGTCAGCAGTCACTTTCAGAGTGTTGTGATGATGGATAACAGTAAGGCTTATCAATTTTTTTTTCTGCTTTTTTGAGACAAAGTTTCACTCTTGTCGCCCAGGCTGAGGGTGCAATGGTGCAATCTCAGCTCACTGTAGTCTCTGCCTCCCAGGTTCAAGTGATTCTCCTGCCTCAGCCTCCCAAGTAGCTGTGATTACAGGTGCCTGCCACCATGCCCAGCTAATTTTTGTATTTTTAGTAGAGATGGGTTTTTGCCATGTTGGCCAGGCTGGTCTCGAACTCCTGACCTCAGGTGATCTGCCTGCCTCGGCCTCCCAAAGTGCTTGGATTACAGGCGTGAGCCACCACGCCCGGCCAGCTTATCAAAACTTTAAGGAGTACTGAAAATCATTTAGAAGTTAGTAAGTTATGGTCTTTATACAAAAAAGAGTCAAGCGTTCATGTTGTATAACTAAACTTAGAAGACTGCTAGGATTTTAAAGATTTTCCTTTATTTTGTGTAGAGAAGAAACATCACACAATATTCTACTTGTCATCTTTCCTCAACTTAATTTACATATATGCCTACATTTACAGGCAAAATATTTCTAAGTATATCATAGCCATTCATTGTTACTTGACAAAAAAAAAAAAAAGCTCCTGTGTTGAATATAACCGTCTGTGATTACAGTGCAGGTAATGTCTCCCTTCTCAAAATGTGTATATATTTTAAAATCATCACTTGGGCCGGCGCGGTGGGCTCAAGCCTGTAATCCCAGCACTTTTGGGAGGGCGAGTACGGGCGGATTCCGATAGGAGATCGAGACCGATCCTGGCTAACACGGTGAACACCCCGTCTCTACTAAAAAAATACAAAAAACTAAGGGCCGGGCGAGGGTGGGCGGGCGCCTGTAGTCCCAGCCTCCGGGAGGCTGAGGCAGGAGAATGGCGTGAACCCAGGAGGCGGAGCTTGCAGTGAGCTGAGATCCGGCCCGACGCACCGGCACTTGCCAAACTGGGCGGCAGAGCGACGACATCCCCATAAAAAAAAAAAAGGCCCGGGGCCCGGTGGCTCAGCCTTGTAATCCCAGCAACTTTGGGAGCCGAGACGGGCGGATCACGATGGTCAGGAGATCGAGGACCCATCTGGCTAACACGGGCAAACCCCGTCTCCTACTAAAAAATAAAAGAAAACTAGCGGGCGAGGTGTGCGGCCGCTGTGAGTCCCAGCTCTCGGGCAGCTGAGGCAGGAGAATGGCGGAACCCGGGAGGCGGAGCTTGCAGTGAGCCGAGATCCCGGCCACTGCACTCCAGCCTGGGCGATAGAGCGGACTCCGTCTCAAAAAAAAAAAAAAAAAAAAAAAAAAATCATCACTCAAGGAAAATCCCAGTGTTGGCAATTTGTTTTTAAGAATGCATCTTGTTGCCGGGCACAGTGGCTCACATCTGTGATCCCCAAGCACTTTTGGAAGAGTTGAGCAGGTGGACTACTGAGGTCAGGAGTTTGAGACCAGCCTGGCCAACTTGGTGAAACCCTGTCTTTACTAAAAATACAAAAATTAGCCAGGCATGGTAGCGTGTGCCTGTAATCCTAGCTACTCCAGAGGCCGAGGCATGAGAATCGTCTCAACCCAGGAGGCGGAGGTTGCAGTGAGCTGAAATCACGGCACTAACCCTAGCCTGGGTGACCAAGTGAGACTCTGTCTCAATCAAAAAAAAAGAGAAACTGCATCTTTTTCCATTGATTAGAGGGATGACTAAAAAAATAATGCATCTTTTAAAAAATAAAGTTCGGATTTCCTTTACTCACTTCCTCCTTCCCTGTATTGTTGTCTTCAAGATTTATTTACCACCCTATGCCAGGATTAGCAGGTTAATGGCTCATAGATTCCCCAGCTTATTAACCCATTTATCTTGTTTACTGGTGGGAAAGGCAAAGATAAAAATGTTTTTGGTTGTAGTTGTCCAAGTGCAATGGACAGCAGTATCCCATAAGGCCAGAAGGTGGTAGTGTTGTCCATAAAAGTAGATCATTTTTTTCTCTGGCTTGTTCAAAATATTTTAAACCAGTCTGTATTTTCAAAATTCACACTGGATATACTTTTGAAATAGCAAAATATGGTAATGTTTGTCTGTTTTTAATCAAGAGGACAGAGATATATTTATATATATATAGTGTCACACATAAGGAATTATATGTTTGCCTCTCCGGGCTTAGGCACGCATAGATACTGCATTGTTACAAATGGGATTAGGAACCTATAATTAAGTGATACTACTTTAAGGGGTTGTTTTGTATCTCTCGTACTGAAATTATAATAAATTGCCTGGAGAGCTTTCTTCTCCTCTTCCAATTTATTTTTTACTTATTTATTTACTTTTGAGACTGACTCTTGCTCTGTCCCCCAGGCTGGAGTGCAGTGGTGTGATCTCGGCTCACTGTAACCTCCATCTCCCAAGTTCCAGCGATTCTCCTGCCTCACCCTCCCGGGTACCTGGGATTACAAGCATGCGTCACCACACCCGGCTAATTTTCTTTGTATTTTTTAGTAGAGACACGGTTTCACCATGTTGTCCAGGCTGGTCTTGAACTCCTGATGTCAGTGATCAGCCCGCCTCAGCCTCCCAAAGTGCTGGGATCACAGGCCTAAACTACTGCGCACGACCCTCTTTCAATTTCTTAATCTTCCTTTTCGTCCTGTTGCTTTTCTCCCTCCTCCCCATCCCAGCTGTATGTAAGATGGTATCTTATTTTCATACACGGTTGTAATTTAAATAGACTGTTGTAGTTTCTACCGCAAGATACGATTGTTGAAAGCGTGATTTCTAACATTTCACATACAACTGCCGTAAAAGGTTGACAGGAACTTAATACACATTGCCTATTTGGTTGATGCTTTCAACACTCTGTAGGGCTTTCACACAGGACTAGCCTCAGTGGAATTTTATCGATTAAATTCATCTACCAATGGGTGATTAATAATTATCCGTTTTATTGCATATTTAATAGGTGGGGGGGCGGAATTCTTTATTTCTATGGCTAATTGCCCTCAGTTCAATTTTACCACTGTGATATTCATTCCACACGCTCTGATGAGTGTGGTACTTGAGACACTACCTTAGCGAGGGAAGGGACGAATGTTACAAATGAATCCGGAAGGACGCTGAAACGAACACCTGCAAATTATGTACGACATGTTTATATTCCAGGCCCTGGTTTAGCTTTTGGGAGACGTCAGTGAGGAAAACCCGTGAAGATCCCCATCTTTACGGTGCTTACCCTGAAGTTGGGAGTGGAGAGGGAGGTATTCAACCAGCAAGAAATCGGAACAGGCGCAGAGCGGCCGCGGGGTCAGGGGAAACCGCGGGCGGCTTTCAGGGCCCAGGGCCGGCGGGCGGGCTTCAGCGGGCCTGCATTTTCTCAGGCCTCCGCTTCAGGCGGGTTCAAGTTCTCAACCAGACCTTCGGCCGTCCAGCGCCTAGGGAACGTCAGTGCGGTGACTTCTCCCGCTGTGCAGGGCGGTGACCCGCGCTGGCGCGCTCAGTTCCCCGCCAGAGTCGGCTGGGGGCTCCCGTGATAAATGCGACCCCCTCTTGCCCCTGCGCCCCCCGACCGCGCGTCCGACCCCGGCCCCGCGTGTCCCCCACGCCCCACCACCCTGCACGCCCTACCCGGCCGCGCGTCCCCTCCGGACCGTGCGTCGCCGCCCTCACCATCGCGCCCCCAGCTGTGTGTCCCCTGCGACCGGGCCCCCGACCGCGCGTCACCACCTGCGACTCTGCGAGCCCTGCGGGTCGCGGCCCACTAGAGACCGTGCGGCCATCTCGCCTCGAGGCCAGGCCGTCCTGCCCGGTCCTCACCTCCAGAGCGCGCATCCCCCGGCCCGTGCGGCCCCCTGAGGGGCGGGCGCTGGGCGGCGCTGGACTGCGCGAGGCGGGGCGGGGCGGGGCGCCGGACGCCATCGCGTCGCTACCGGCCGGCGGCGGTCTGCTCCGGACTGCAGCCGTGTCCTCGCCGCCCTCCTCTCGCCCACGCCTCCCGGGCACTCGCCTGGTCCCGGCGGCGGCGCGCGCGGCCGCGTTGGGCGGTGGCGGTTCCGGGGATGGTGAGGCGGCGGCGCGCGGAGACGATGCTCCGGGGCTGAGGAGACGCCGGCACACGGCGCGACTGCCGAGCGCAGCGCCCACCCGCGGGATGGCTCAGGCGGCCGGCCCGGCGGGCGGCGGGGAGCCGCGGGCTGAGGCGGGGGGCGGCGAGGGGCCGCGGGAGCCCGAGGCAGCCGGCGGCGCGGCCGGGGGCTCGCAGGACGCGCTGAGCCTGGAGGAGATCCTGCGGCTCTACAACCAGCCCATCAACGAGGAGCAGGCGTGGGCCGTCTGCTACCAGTGCTGCGGCTCCCTGCGCGCCGCCGGCCGCCGCCGCCAGCCCCGCCGCCGTGTGCGCTCGGCCGCGCAGATCCGCGTCTGGAGGGACGGCGCCGTCACCCTGGCGCCCGCGGCCGACGACGCGGGAGAGCCGCCCCCCGTTTCGGGTGAGGCCGCCGGGCCCCCTTCCCTCGTAGTCCTTGGAACGCCCCCAGCTGGGCCGCCTTGCCCTCAGCGTCCCCGGCCCTTCCGCCCCCTCCGCCCCCCGTTTGCCACGGGATACCCCCGGGAGGGTCCGGCCGGGACCCGCAGGGGAGGGCGGCGTCAGGCCGGGGCGGGCCGGGGCCCCTCGGAGGTCAGAGCCTCGTGGCGGGCGGCGGCGCAGATCCGCTGTGCGGAGGGCGTTGGGGCGGCCCTGGGTGGGCCTGGGCCTGCGGGCCGCGGGGCGCTTGTCATTGTGCAGCCCGCGCGACAGCTGCCCGCGGCGCGTTTGGGAGCGGTGGGCTGGGCCCTGCTCCTGGCCAGCGGCCTGTGCGCCTCACGCCGTGTTTGCTGCGCACGGCCGGGTTCGCGGGGTGGGGAGGGCATCGCAGGCTCCACGCCGGGGCTCCGCGCGGATCCTCAGTGCCGCTGTCGGGAACCCCGCGCTCCTCACGGGAGGCTACAGCCGTGTTCCGCGTTAGACAGCCTTTCCTCCGTTCAGAAATGTACCCTGAGGAGAATTCTGCTATTTGGGGAGAAATGGAAAAATAGACTAAATAATGATTTTTGGCTCCTGGACGTTGGAAAACACGATTACATTCCTGTGTGTGAAAATTGGTTGTGATGAAAAACAGGTTTGTAAAGCAAAAAGTTGACAGGATGTCCAGATACAAAGAGCAAATGGGCCTTAGTTACGTCATTGTCTAAGGCAAATTTTTCAGGATTATGACCTAAACAGTAATTTATAGCCAGGGTTTACTCAGATGCTCATTGAAGAGGAGGAGGAGGTTGAGGAAAGGTTTCTCTCATCAGTTTTTATCTAATTCATTCTTTTGAGAGGCAAGTCTATTAAAAACATAGAAAAACAATCTACCGTCACTTTTAGAAAGTTGATGGAAATGTCAAAACGCTTAAGGTGAAAGATGTAATTTCGAATTAATACAATGACATTTAATGAAAACCCTTGTCTAACTTGATTAAAGCAATATTCCAGGTTATACTTATTCTTTCAGTTCCGCCAGAACATGTTTTTAATCTTTTGTTTTTTAGTGTCAGGTAAACACATTTTTATTTACGTGGTTTTATCTTTTATTTTTTAGCGTCAGGTAAACAAGTTTTTATTTAAAGCCATCTTTTTAATTATCCTTTTGAAACTAATTCAAATAGTTTTTTGTTTATTTGATTGGCTTATTGCTTTTAAACCTGGACTTAATCTTAGTGAGAAACACTTGCAATTATAATTTACAGTGTATTAATTGGTACAAAAAGATACATTTATAAAATACAGCAATGTCTGCCGGGTGCAGTGGCTCATGCCTGTAATCCCAGCACTTTGGGACATCGAGGTAGGTGGATCACCTGAGGGTCAGGAGTTCGAGACCAGCCTGGCCAACATGGTGAAACCATGTCTCTACAAAAAATACAAAAATTAGCCGGGCGTGGTGGTGTGCCCCTGGAATACCAGCTACTTGGGAGGCTGAGGCTCGAGAATTGCTTGAACCTGGGAGGTGGAGGCTGCAGTGAGCCGAGATTGCACTACTGCACTCCCGCCTGGGTCACAGAGCAAGACCCCGTCAAATAAATAAATAAATAAATAAATACAGCAATATCGTGCCTTGGAATTTAGCTGTTTCCAGAGGAAAAATGGTTGTGTGCAGCCTGCTTTCAGAAGCAGCATTGGTAGTGGTGATTTCCGGAGAGAATAAGCCCCCAGTTTACATTGTCTTGGCACTTAAACTTAATCCCAAAATAGTGTAGTTTTGTTGTCAAAGATAGATAGATTCTCGTGGATGGGTTTTTTGTTTTTTTGTTTTTTGGTCTGAACCTTATGTTGAAATGGAATATTTTTTACATCACTAGTGTGAGTGATAACATGTTGATCTCAGTGTAATAAACTGCCTTTATGAAGAAAATAGTGAGTGGAGTTGTTCTCCACAATTCGTAATAGGTTTATAATTCTCTTTCTCAGTTCTGCTCATGACCTGCGCTACCAGTTATGGAGAAGGCCTAATCAAAGTTGTTGATAGAGACTTGAGCATTTTCTGTTGACTAAAATTATTTAAGAAGTTCATACTAAAATATTAGTTTATTTCCTCATGGGATTTAAGAATAGTTGCATGGCTCAGGAGGATACACTGTCTTCTGAAGATGTTATCTTGATTCTTAAACTTGATGAATAATTTGCTGTTGTGCACACTTAAAAGTTCTTTTCTTTCTTTTTCTCTCTTTTCTTTTTTTCTTTTTCTTTTCTTTTTTTTTTTTTTTTTGACAGGGTCTTGCTGTATTGCCCAGGCTGCTGAAGGCTGGAGTGCAGTGGTGTAGTCATAGCTCATTGCAGCCTGGAACTCCTGGGCTTATGTGATCCAACTGCCTTGGCCTCCCAAAGTGCTGGCGTTACAGGTGTAATCCTCCTTGCCCAGTCTCTCTTTTTCTTTTCTTTTTTTTTTTTTTTTGAGATGGAGTCTCCCTCTGTCGCCCAGCCTGGAGTGCAGTGTCGCAATCTCGGCTCACTGCAATCTCTGCCTCCCAGGTTCTAGCGATTCTCCTTCCTCAGCCTCCCAAGTACCTGGGACTACAGGCATGCACCACCATGCCCAGCTAATTTTTGTATTTTTAGTAGAGACGGGGTTTCACCATGTTGGCCAGGATGGTCTTGATCTCTTGACCTCATGATCCTCCTGCGTCGGCCTCCCAAAGTGCTGGGATTGTAGGTGTGAGCCACTGCGCCTGACTTCTTTTTTCTGTTTTTAAGGAACGTTTGTATTCATGAGACTTCCATTGTAGGAACGAGTTGGGGAAAATAAGTAAAAAACTTTTTTTTTTTTTTTTTTTTTGAGATGGAGTCTCGCTCTGTCGCCCAGGCTGGAGTGTGGTGGCGCGATCTCGGCTCACTGCAAGCTTGCAAGCTCTGCTTCCTGGGTTCATGTCATTCTCCTGCCTCAGTCTCCAGAGTAGCTGGGACTAAAGACGGCCGCCACCACACCTGGCTGATCTGAAAAAAAAAAAAATAAGATAACCAACATAACCCAGCACTTGGACGCGACAGGAGAATTGTGAACCCTGGCAGGGCAGAGTAGTGACCCAACCGGGCCACTGCATCCAGCGAAACAACAGAGTGAGACTGCCATCCTCAAAAAAAAAAACCAAAAAAAAAAAAATTGGCCCGACCAGGTCTCACGCCTGGAATCACACGAACAGGGGGAGGCGAGTGGACCACGAGTGAGATCGGGGGTTCTTCCTGGCTACACATGAAAACCCATCTCCAAAATACAAACAATCAGGGGCCCGGCCCCCCCCCCAAACCGCGCGGTGGCTCACCCTTTAAATTCCAGCCACTTTGGAGGCTGAGCAGGATCACCTGAGGTCCTGAGTTCGAGACCAGCCTACAAACATGGTGAACCCCGTCTTTAATAAAAACACAAAAATTAGCCGAAAGAGTGGGCGGCAACAATTGTAAACACACAGAGGCTGAGGCACGGAGAATTGCTTGAACCTGAAGCGAAGGTTGCCAGTGACCAAGATCGCACCATTTGCAACTACCACAGCCTGGAAACAGAGCTCACCTCCAAGAAACAAACACAAACAAG